GTAATTTACAAAAATTACACTTGCTACCCTAAAAATACATTCACTAAAAAAAAGGGCTTTTTTCTTTTTCTTTTAAAGAGACAGGGTCTCACTCTAAAGAACAAGGCTGCCCAGGCTAGAGTGCAGTGGTGTGATGATGGCTCACTGTAGCCTAAAACTCCTGGGTTCATGTGATCCTCCCATCTCATCCTCTGAGTAGCTGGGACTACAGGCACTAGCCACCACACCCAGCCTCTGTCTTTATTTTTATCAACTGCTACAGAAAAGTTTCAAAATCATCATAGAAGAAAATTATCGTTTTTACCAGTATAAAACTTTTATTGCATCCCAACCAAGCTAGATGAATATAAAATAGTTTCAACAGAAAAAAGTTACCATTATCATAATTCAAGACAAAAATCAGCCCACAATTACATGAGTTGGAAAACAAACTATGCTATATCACAGTCTACCTTAAAGTTCCAACTATGTCAGATTTAAAACACATATACACGGCCCTCTGGATCCCTCCTCATTTATCTAAAACCTACTTTTGAGACGATCTGCTATTTTCTCAAGTCTTTTGGAATGAGCACTGCAGCCCCACCCCCAGACAAGGAGAAGGCACCACTTCTAGGGCTCAGCACTGCCCTGGCTTGAAGCAGATGCTCAAATATTTGTTGGGTAAATGAACAACTGTCTGCTGACAGGCCAGCCATCAAGCCTCACAAAGAAAAAATTCAGAAAAAAACAACTTTATAGAGAAAATAGGAAAAAGTTTAAGAGATATTTTGCTCACTTGAAGAACTCGGCATTTGTTAAAGGTGAAGACTGGATTGACTGGTTCACTAAGTGTCTCAGACACAACTGGCTAAGTGGGCTCTAAACCTCATCCCACCCCAAAGTTAAATACAAAACAGGTATTTTTTTTTTAATCATAGGAAAAACACAGGACAACTTACCTATAAAATTCTTTTTTTTATTTTAAATACAGAGTCTTACTCTGTAGCCCAGGCTAAAGTGCAGTGGTGTGATCTCGGCTCACTACAACCTCCGCCTCCTGGGTTCAAGCGATTCCCCTGCCTCAGCCTCCCCAGCAGCTGAGATTACAGGCACCCACCACCACGCCTGGCTAATTTTTGTATTTTTAGTAAAGACGGGTTTTCACTATGTTGGCCAGGCTGGTCTCAAACTTCTGACCTCAGGCAATCCACCCACCTAAGCCTCCCAAAGTGCTGAGATTCCAGGCAGGAACCACCGCATCTGACCCTTTTATATGTATTAAATATGTGTGTATAATTATAATACATCATCAGATATTTTAGGAAGAAAATATAGGCGACTATTGATCTGTTAAGAGTAGGAAAGGATTTCCTAAGTGTAAAAATGAAGAAATCATAACAGAAATTTTCTGTATCAGAAAGACAAGAATTAAGACATATGACAAAATAGGAAAATATCTGCATGACAAAGAGTGAACATCTTTAATACATTAAGAGCTGTGACAACGATTACTGAGGTTTAGCCTCAGTAATAATCCAAGCAGCACCAATTTAAAAGATGTATATTCCAATTCTGGGAGGGTATGGGACAATGGCACTTTCTCAGAATATTGTGGGAACTGGGATAGCCATTTTGGACAGTGATGTGGTAGTACCCACCAGAAATTCCAAGTCTAGGTACTACCCACCAGAAATTCTTCAAAAAGACTGGCACATGAGGAATTTCAATCCTGTAGTATTTTTAATAACAAACCACTAGGAAATCCAATAGAGAGACAATGAAATGCACGATGGTAAATCAGCCCTAGACTACACTGCTATTTAAAAGAAATGAGGCAGAGATGAATATATGAGATGGATAAATGCAGATTATGCATATATAACACCGTCCTGAGGTTGGGCGCGGTGGCTCACGCCTGTAATCCCAGCATTTTGGGAGGCCGAGGCGGGTGGATCACCTGAGGTCAGGAGTTCAAGATCAGCGTGGCCAACACGGTGAAACCCTGTCTCTACTAAAAATACAAAAATTAGCCAGGCTTGGTGGCGGGCGCCTGTAATCCCAGCTACTAGGGAGGCTGAGGCGTGAGAATAGCTTGAACCCGGGAGGTAGAGGTTGCAGTGAGCCAAGATTGCACCACTGCACTCCAGCCTAGGCAACAGAGTGAGACTCTGTCTCAAAAACAACAAAAAAACACCATCCTGTTTGTTAGTTACAAACACAAAAAGTACACAGTTTAGTCTTAGAAGATGTAGAAGGGTCTACATTAAGCTATTAACAGTGGTTATTTTGGGTAGTGGAAGCAGAGAATAAATAAGCAGGGAGCTTTCATTTTTTTATCTGGTGATTTTTTTTTTTTTTTTTTTTTGAGAGAGTCTCACTCTGTCGCCCAGGCTGGAGTGCAGTGGCGTGATCTTGGCTCACTGCAACCTCCACTTCCCAGGTTCAAGCAATTCTCCTGCCTCAGCCTTCCAAGTAGCTGGGACTACAGGTTGCAAGCCACCACAGCCAACTAATTTTTGTATTTTCAGTAGAGACGGGGTTTCACCATATTAGCGAGGCTGGTCTCGAACTCCTGACCTCAGGTGATCCACCCGCTTCGGCTTCCCAAGGTGCTGGGATTACAGGTGTGAGCCACTTTACCCAGCCACCTGATAAATTTTTAAGTGGTTTGATTTTTCTATAAATCCATATACTATTTTTGTAATTCTTTAAAAAGTAAAAGAAGAAAAATAGATATCAAGCATTTATCTACTAAAGACAGGTATTGTCCTTTGAGAATTCCCTCAGAAGTTCTTTGAAGCTCAAATGGCTACAAATTTCCCATTTATAAGCAATAAGGTATTTTAAAAAATCTCCTCTTTCTATATTTGTTGTTGTTGCCACCACCACTTATTTATCTAGCTCTATATTTGTTTTTTAAAGTTTACTTTCAATTAGCTTCCTCAGGTTGAACTCTCTGTACATTTCTTAGGAGAAACTGTGGTGTCACCCCTGCCTGTTTTATAAACTCCATTCCTGGCCGGGCACGGTGACTGATGCCTGTAATCCCAGCACTTTGGGAGACCAAGGCAGGTGGATCACAAGGTCAGGAGATCAAGACTATCCTGGCCGACATGGTGAAATGTCATCTCTACTAAAATATAAAAAATTAGCTGGGCGTGGTAGAACATGCCTGTGGTCCCAGCTACTCGGGAGGCTGAGACAGGGGAATTGCTTTAACCCGGAAGGTGGAGGTTTCGGTGAGCCGAGATCGTGCCATTGCACTCCAGCCTGGGTGACAAAGTAAGACTCTGCCTCAAAAAAAAAAAAAAAAAAAAAAAAAAAATCCATTTGTAACCTGAGAAAAAGACTCTTAAAAACTCAAACCAGCCAGGCACGATGGCTCATGCCTGTAATCCCAGCATCTTGGGAGGCAGAGGTGGGCAGATCACCTGAGGTCAGGAGTTTAAGACCAGCCTGACCAACACGATGAAACCCCATCTCTACTAAAAATACAAAATTAGCTGGGCGTGGTGGCACATGCCTGAAATTCCAGCTACTTGGGAGGCTGAGGCAGGATAATTGCTTGAACGCAGGAGGCGGAGGCTGCAGTAAGCCAAGATCGCACCATTGCACTCCAGCCTGGGCAACAAGAGGGAAACTCCATCTAAAAAAAAAAAAGAAAGAAAGAAAGAAAAAACGCAAACCACCCTCCAAGCCTAACATCTTCCAGAAAAACCCATTCACTGCCCATATTACATTTAGTCCACACAATTTCTGAGACAAAGCACAAGGCACTAGCCATCCAACTCCCACCAGCATAAATGTGTGGAGTACAAAGAACGTCCTGTCAGCCAGGCCTAGAGCACACCCCGCAGCAGTAAAGGAGAATGACAATTTGAGTCACAGGATCAGGAGTAGAATCAAATTTGAAATTCAGGAGGCAGTGTGATGCTCTTCCCTTCCTTCCACACCTTCTATTCTCCTTCAGCCAAACCTTGCCCTCACATAATCCCTCAACAAGCTATTTCTTATGGATGTCTACCACAGCTTCACAGTGAGGTATCGAAAACCATTTGAGAGACACAAGTACCACTTAGGGCCTCAGTTGGAATCACAATGGCAGCATATGTGAAAACTAACATTTTTTGCTTAGGGAAAAAAAATGGGAAATGCAATTGAAACATTCTGCTTTGCCACACGTAAGTTTTGAAATCCACATGTCAAAACATCAAATGTGGAGTTGACCATTAATCAAGAAAAAAGAAAAAAAAAAAACAGCTTGAGATGTCGAGCCTGAAGGTTGAGAAATTAAGGAACCATTCATTTTTATAAAACTAAAGTCCACACAGTAGTGCCAAGTGGTTCAAAGTGCAGCTGACACAGCACCTGAGTGTCAGAGCTAGAATAACTTGAGCCCCCAGCCTTTTACAAAGTACTCATCCTCCTCTAGAGTCCCAAGAACTGGATGTATATCTGGGTACTTTCTTTAGTTGCCATGGGAGGAGTGTGGCAAGCACACGACAGTAGCCATGGGCCCTGCTGTTCTGCGACAGCTTTCAGGAGGGTGTCCCTCTAGGGGACTGACAACATACCAGTTCCCATATCTGAGAATGCATTACCACTGCTCGTTAATATTGACCACTAAGCCATTTCCCCCAAACCGAAGCAAACACATGCCGCAGACTGCTAGGCAACAGCAGCAGCGCAGGGAAAGGGCTCAATGCAAGTGCTCTTGGCTCAGCTGATCTGTTTCAAGGTGAACTGAAGTTGCAGATCACCAGTTCCGGCTCTAATCTGACGCCCGCCCCCAGATCACGCTATGGCTACCAAGTAACCCTACCCAAACTGACCTTTCAGGGCTCAGGGAAGTGACTTTTTTTTATTATATGGCACAGTTTGGCACAGTTATGTCTTTAGTCTTTGGGGTACTTTTATACTGTCCAAGAGTAGTATATCTATTTTCCTTTTTTTTTTTTTTAAAAACAGATGGCCAAACCAGGACATATACTAAAAAAAAAAAAAGGAAGGTTACTTACCTGAGCCCTAACATCCCAGCTACCATGGAATCCTGTTGGAGCTGGTCTACAGAAGCAAGGTGTATTCTGGGGAGTCACATGTCACATCAAAGCAGGAACTGGTGAGTCTGTATTTTTATGGAGCCTAAAACAAAGAAAATTGTAAGTTGAAAGCCCCCATTGAGCTGCACGACCTTTTTCCCAGGGCTAGTTGGGACATTCTGAAGATAAACACATAGACACATACTATGCTATTTCCCAGCTTACCTAGCTAGAAACAAAGGATAAACTGCAAATTACTGGCACATAACACACAGTGCTAAAATAAAGGAAACATTCATGCTTGTTAGAATCAACACTATCACAAGTCTTGTCACCTTTAGGGGACACTTCAACACTATAAAACATATAAAAGTGGTGATTTCTGGCAAGTATTTCTTCTATCACATCACACAGAAATTCTTGGGGAGAGAATACATGTTCAAGAGAATATGCAACATCAAAATACCATCCCTGAAAGACCACATGGAACCTAGAGGCGGCCTCCCTTCTTTTTCAAGCAGCTGAATGAAGTTGCAATGAGCTGCTGTAACATCACGTAAAGGGGCTTTAATCCTGAGAGAAAAAAATCAGCACCAAGGGAAACCAAGTGCTCTAGGAGACCCAAAGCCATCATCCAAAACATGCAAGTCTATTTCAGAGCAATCACTTTTAAGCCTCTCAGATCAGTCAATCTTGATGTTCAACAAACTGAGTTACTAGTTTGATAGTTTCTCTTTTGCTTTTGAACGCAGGCTCAAAAAAGGCCTTTCGTCAGTACCCTGTCATTAAGATAACCATCATTCCTTTTTTAAAACCTAAACTGCCCCATATTAACTAGCTAATTTCTGACACTATGCTGGCCCAAGAGTAGCACATTTTTTTTTTTTTTTTTAGACAGAGTGTTGCACTGTCGCCCAGGCTGTAGTGGAATGGCACAGTCACAGCTCACTGTAATTTCCGCCTCCTGGGTTCAAGCAATTCTCCTGCCTCAGCCTCCTGAGTAGCTGATACTACAGGCATGCACCACCATGCCCAGCTATTTTTTAAAAAATATTTTTAGTAGAGACAGGGTTTCACCATGTTGGCCTGGATTGTCTGGATCTCCTGACCTCATGATCTGCCCACTCCGGCCTCCCAGACTGCTGGAGTTACAGGCGTGAGCCACTGTGCCAGGACTTTTTTTTTTTTAGACATAGTCTTGCTCTGTCGCCCAGAGTGTAGTGGCGCCATTTTGGCTCCCTGCAACCTCCACCTCCTGGCTTCAAGCGATTCTCCTGCCTCAGCCTCCTGAGTGGCTGAGATTACAGGCATCTCGTCCCCGCACCTCCCCTGCCCCCGCAAACACTGTGCCCAGCTAATTTTTGTATTTTTAGTAGAGACGGTATTTCATCAGGCTGGTCTCAAACTCCTGACCTCATGAATCTACCTGCGTCGGCCTCCCAAAGTGCTGGGATTACAAGTATGAGCCACTGTGCCTGGCCCGGCACTTTTATCTTTAGGCTAAAAACAAAAGATCAGAATGTACAACTTAGAGACTATTCACACAATTACTCATGTAATCAAACCCAGAAGGGCAACACCTACCAAGTCTTTCACTGGTCTATTGCTGCTCTATAGCTACCAGGATAGTACCTAAAATTATGTTTTAAGCTCAGTGAGGACTCATAATTCCTTTAAACAGTTAAGTCATTGAATGCTTTGAAATCCCAGAAGTCAAGTTAACAGTATTACTTCGTTAGCTATATTAAAAAAGAAGAAAGAAAGAAAAAAAAACCAAACTGGTATCCTGCCTAGGAGGCCCTGGAAAAGTCACAACTTCTCAGGGACACAAGTTTGTTTCTTTGTTTATAAACTGATGGTGCTAGAGTAAGGATCCTTCTAGTTTTCGAAGTTTAAGATCATTGATTAAGATTTCATGTCAAAAAGAGTCAGAAAATAGAGCAGTTGGTGAAATCTAATAAAGAAAATGCGCGCGCACACACACACACACACACACACACACAAACACAACACCCCTAGCTCTTAGGCAAGGAAGACAAGTGCGTCCTTACTAAGGCTTGGTCCTGTTAGCTTCAGGAGCAATAATGAGAGCCCAGACTACAGTATCTACAGTAACTGCAAAACAGCCAGACACCACAGTAGGGACACATTCACACGCCAACAGACCCAGCATACATATGCCTTAAAGAAGTTATATCAGGCTTTATTCTCTAATGAAACAGTCATTCCCCCTCTAATGTGGGAGTGAGGATGCCCTGACCACCCCACAATTCTGGCTCCCACTCAGTTATCCCACACACCATACATAGCATCAAAGTGGTGGAACCAAAGTATTTAAGCAATAGCAGGCAAACCAAGCTTTTGACAGGAAAAGGTTTTTCGCAAGAGAAAGGCAGAAGAGAACAGGTAAAAGCAGAAGAGCATAACTTCTACTTAAGCAAGCCGAAAGAAAAGGGACCTGTTCACATCTTGTCCTACCCGAATGATGCACACGCACAGGGGCTTGCTGGGACAGCAGGAGTTTCAATGACCAGGGCTAGTATGGAAGCACCGAGGACAAGGCCCTTCCATCGCAGTTGTGATCATGCTCTATCCAAGCAGAAAGGATCACGTCTGCCAGCCACGAGAGACTGGGCTGCATGGATGTCACCAGAGCAGAGGGCAGGAAAACAAGCAGGTGTCCTGCCACACTCTTTGGAACTGGCCAGTCTAGGACTGTGCTTTACCCCCCACACTGAAAACACTGGTTACTAGTAATACCAAACATTTTCGGAGATTCTCTCCTCCTCCGAGATAACTTGGGCATTCTGAGAACAAACTGCTCTTAGCTAATTAAAAGATTTCTGCTGATATTAGCCTTAGTAAAAGATTTCAGGTTCCAGGACACGTCATTTATCATGCAGAGTTCCAAGCAGGCACATTTGCAGTGGAAACCGGGCTCCAGTAAGGTTAAAGAAATGAACTTCTCGTTCCATCTCCACATGGGAGGAATGTTCTGGAGGGACAACATCCTAAATTCATCTAGCCAGTTTTTTTTTTTTTTTTTTTCCCAAACTCCACAGCATGCCTCCCTGCCCCGATAGATGAGACTGCACAGAGGCAGGGCAGGCACGGGAAATGACTCGTTGGAAATCACAAACACATACACACAGAATGCAAGCACCCTAACTCTTTGAACACACAGTGGTCTGTGCCTGGCCCCAGACCTACCTCAGGATTTCAACAGCACAAAAGTCAGAATACGGCTGACTGCATGATACTCTCCTACCAATCAGGTGAAACAAAGACCCGGTACTCTAAAGTATTCCAGGCAAAATTTTAATAACAGGCAATAGAAAGGTTTGATAGGCCAGTGCTAACAAGAAAGCCTTCGACATTTTCTTCAAGCCGTTAGGACAATGGAAAGGGAGGTACCCCTCCAACAGGCACCCTGCAGAGAAAACTATACTCTGGAAGCTGCCTGTGCTGTTGAAAGGGCTAGGCGTGTGACAAACAGCTAACTGGAGGGGTACCAGGGAGACAAACTGCCAACTATGAAGAACAAAGCAGAGACCTTAACTTGTCATGTCTCAAGCTGAGATGTACAAACTCTGTGATCATCAAGTGAGGCTTGTGTGTCTGCCTGGGGATGTGACTGTATTCCAGTGATCAGCCACCTAGCTGACCTGCCACGAATGGGTGACCTCTGGTGACTTATTTTAATAACCGTACTTACTACTTCTAGATTGACTGTGTTATTTAAGGTTCTGACATATCCAGGTAAGAAAATAAAAGCAAGTGTTTCCTAGACTCCTGACTGGGATTTGAAACAGAAATCCTGAAAAGCCCATAAATAAGCCTATTTTCCTAAATCCTTGGTGGAAATTCCCAAAAGATGAAAAAATCCAGACCCTGTCTTATTATAGGGACCTAGCATATTTCAAAAGACCCAAGAGGTCAGCTGACTCTGGTTATTAACTGAAATTGCTGAGACACAGATGAACATCCCAGGCACGGAATCCAAAATTCTCTAGAGTGATAATTATCTATGACTGCAATGATACTACCGAGGCCGTATATACTTCATTTTTACAGTATAACAAAATGCCTATAACTTAGAAGAGCCCTTCAATGTTCAGGCCACTCAATACCAGATCCAAGTAGGTTTGGTTCCTCGATTACCAACCAAGCCCTGAATTCGATCCTGTTATCTCAACAGTTTGGGGTACTGATCCCACACAGCATACAGACAACCTGTGAAAGGCTCGGCAGAGCCCATTCTTGTTCCTGGAAAAATAACCAGAAGCACACATCTGCCTGACCATGAGTCAGGAATATCAATTTTGTGGTGGAGCCCATTTCTGCTGTGACCAACCCACACCCGAACACACTCACAACAGAAGCAACCCCCACAGAGCAATTCCAGAATGAGCTTTTTCCCCCTCGGGGTCCATACTTATCAATGTCATAAACGGTCTCCCCTTCGAGAGCAATCCTTTTAAACTCTTCATAATGACCCTAAGTCTTTAGTGCAAAACCACAGAAACATTGCCACTGCCACACAAAAGTCATCTGAGTTTCAGTTTGGGTGATTCGGTCATAACCAAACTCAACAGAGAATAACCTTTCGGGCACAATGAACAGTAGCCACAGCGTCGCGATAAACTTGCCCCATCTCGTACCGGTGATCCGGAGCGCTCCAGGGCGATGAGAGCCCGTTACCTACTATGTCCCACTCCACTTATGTAACTGGAAGATCGCCGGCGAAGGGGGGGTAGGATGGGAGGGTGCTCACATTCCGAGGCCACAGCACCCCCAAAGAACCTCTGAGCACCCTGAGGACACGCTCACACCTAAGAGCCTCAGGCGCCGAAGAGCCTCGGGTGCTGCTGGACGCACAGCACCCTACCCACGGCTCCTGATGGGAACTATAACCACCCCTTTATGATGAGTTGTGGGACCCAGAACACAATGTCTAGTCCCTTTTGTGGACAATAATCCCCACCTACTTGTTCCTGCTAGATGGGGAAAGGAGCCGGCGGACCGACTCGCTCGCAGTGGGGGCAGAAATTCATGGAATGGGCGAGAAGGAGGGGGAGGCAAAGCCCGGAGATGGGGGTGAGAGCGCAGGAGCCCTTGTGGCGCACTCTCCCGACGGGAGGCGAAGTGCGCACGCGCGCCGGTGGGGGGGCCGAGTAACGGGAGAGGGGGCGCGCGAGGGAGGGAGAGGGGAGAGCGCGATCCAGGGAGAGACCGGGGCCGCGGGCGCGCGACGACGCCGCGGCCCAAAGCCCCGAAAAGGGCAGGAGCGCGCGCAGCCCCGACAGGCGAAGCCCCGGCGACAGCGGCGCCCGCGGGGCCGGGGGCCGGGGGCCGGGATGCGCGCAGAGGGCGGGAGAAAGAGGTGCGCCAGGCGAAGGAGGCTCCGGGGAGGCCGCGCCGAGGACGGTCACCCGCGAGCACGGGTGACGGGCCGAGGGGGAGAGTCGCCACCGGCGGAGGGAGGGGGAGGGTACAGAGGAGGGACGCCATCCGCCAGCCGTGTCGTCCGACCCCGCGGGCCCCTCCCGCGCCACGTCCCGCCCCTGTCCCCCGCCCCCCAGCAAGGGTCCCCGCCCGCGGCCACGGCGGTCCCACTCACAGTCTCTCCTCCTCGCCTCCTCCTCCTCCTCCGCTCGGCGCGGCGGCGGCGGCGGCCATTTTCCGGACGGCTTTTACCACAGCCCTCTCTCCGAGAGGAGGGAGCGCGCGCGCCGCCGACGCCGGGACCCCGCACGGCCGACGTCGCGCCCCGCCCTCCCGGCCGGCCCGCGCGCTGCTGCACCTGCGCGCCCGCGCCCCGCCCCCGGCGCAGCTGCGAGCCCACCCGTCATTGGCTGGGGCGGCCGGGTTGGGGCGGGGAGTCTCAGCGGTGATGTCGTCAATTGGCGAGATTTTCTGTCCATTTCGGCCAGGGAAAAGAGGGCAGACCCCTCTAGCTGTTCATTGGCTGCTTTCGGCCGTCGTTTGGGGAAAAGAGGCGGCTTGGGCGCGGAGGGGTTTAGTGGGCGGAATTTGAATGTTAAGGATTAATGGGCCCTTGCGGATGCTGGGGCAAGTGAAGGTGTAGGCTTGGGACGTTGTTTGCGTCCCAAGCAAACCCTCTGTCCGCAGATGCATCGAGTGCGCTGCAAAAGGGTTGCATTGCACCCGCATTTTCTCAATATCACCATCTTCAGCAGAAGCAGCAAAGTTGTCCGCCCTGGAGCCTGACGTTGCTCCAGCTGAGGGGCCTTGGTTTCAGAGGCCTACTCGTTGCATTATTTCATCTGAGCCTGCCGGGTGCTTACGCTCATAGGGGCGGGGAATAAACTGACGACAAATCCCAACCCTGGCCTTCGCAGAACTCTGGCGGGGGAAGAGAGTGCATGCCAAGGCCTCGTGACACCTGTCATTGTTGGATCAGATGGTTTGGTGGAGGTGTGAATAAGGAGCGCAGAGAAAGCTGCACTTAGGTCTTCCTGGAAGATGTGATTTGGGAGCTGAGATCCAGCAGTTTTTCACTTTCCTAGAAGAGTTGATTTGCAGTTGAGATCCAGCAACTGTGTTTTGGGAAAATAAGAGTATAGAAAAAGTGTTAGCCAACCAGGCGTTCAGGACAGGGATGTTTGTTAAGGGGACCTTACCCTGGTGCCAGTCATTATCCAATCCATGCAATGATCTTTGTGTTAGTTCTGTGCTTAGCAAGAAAACCTGGTTCTGATTTGGCTGCCTGCCCCCATTCATTTATTGACTACCTGCTATGTGCCAGGCACTCTTCCAGGTTCTGGGTGCACAGTACTGAACAGACAGCAGACTAACATTCTTGCCGGGAGAGTCATACTAGCATACAAATAAGTCTAATATGTAATTTCACATAGTGATAAAGGCTTCAAGAAAGAAAGTAAGAGTGAAGGGAATGCTGTTTAGATAGCTACTGGTTTTCACCCTCATTTTCCTCCCCCTTATGAATATCTGGGGAAAGAACATTCCAGGCAAGTTCAAAGGCCATGAGGAGAGACTATGCCTGGCATGTTGGGGACTAACAAGGAGGTCAATGTTGCTGGAAAGTGGTAGGGAATGTGATTGGAGAGGCAGCCGGGGCCACTATGAGAATTGGGAGTTTATTCTTTTTTTTTTTTTTTTTTTTTTTTGAGATGGGGGCTCATTCTGTTGCTCAGGCTGCAGTGCAGTGGTGCAATCTTGGCTCATTGTAAACATCCACCCCAAGCTCAAAGCAATCCTCCCTCCTCAGCATCCTAAGTAGCTGGGACCACAGATGCGCACCACCACACCTGGCTAAGTTTTTGTATTTTGGGGAGAGATAGAGTTTCACTATGTTGCCCAGACTGGTCTCAAACTTCTGAGTTCAAGTGATCTGCCTGCTTTGCCCTCCCAGCCAGAACCGACAGTGTATTCTAACGTGAGAAACCCTCAGAGGATTTTGAGCCGGGAGCTGACATCCTCTGATCTATGTTGCAGGTGTAGAGTGGAGAACTGGATGTGATGTGACAGAACTATGGTACAAGGCTAGTTGCAAGGCCCTGGAACAGTCTAGGAGAGAGAGATGATGGTGGCTTTAACTACAGTGGTAGCAGTGTACCTCTGAGAACTTGTGAGATTCAAGATATATTTTCAAAATTGAACAAAAGGATTGGATGCAAGGCACAGAGAAAGAGAAGAAACAAGGATGACACCTGAGATTGGGGCCTGAGCACCTGGAGGAATAAGGGTGCCTTTCACCATGGTGGGGAGAACTACAGAAAGAGTACATTTTCAGATGTGTAGCTCAAGAGTTCTGCTTTGGCCATATTAAGCTTGGGGTGCCCAGTGGTGTGAAAGTGAAGATTGGGTGTGTGATGCTGAAGTACAGGGATGCAGTCATCAAGCTGAACGTCCAGTTCAAGAAACCATAAAGAAACGACAGAATAAACCTGGAAAAGTAGAAGAAAAAAATAAGGATGAACAAACTTAACGAAATAGAAATAAATGATAGAAAGAATGGAGAAAACTTTGAAACTCCTTGTTTGAAATGCTGAAAAACAAAAGCCAAGCCTCTAACACGCTGGATATAAAGAGAAAAGAGAAAAATAAATTATATTACTCATTAAAAGGTTTTATTATGAACTGTGTGTCAGTAAATTTGAAAACAAGCAAAATGAATAAATTCCTAGAAAAGTACAGCTTACCAAAACAAACTCTAGAAAAAGAAAATCCCTGTAACCACAATGAAATTAAATTGACTATATATTTAAAAACCTACCCACTGCTCTACACACAGACACACACACACACACACACACACACACACACACGCCGGGGGAGGAGAGAGAGAGAGAAACAGACAAAGAGGGCTTTACGGATGACTTCTACCAAATCTTTAATGAGTGGGCAATTCCAATCATACACAGAAAAGAAACTTATTTTACTAGACTGATATATCTACTACAATGAGCCAAGAAAAGTATGACACAAGATGTGGAAATAAGTTTTAAAATTCTAGACAAAGAAACTGAACCCTGAAGTATATGATCTACCACAACCAAGTTGAGTTTTAGCTTAAGAATGCAAATACGGTTTAAAATTAGAAACTCAACCTTAACAAACAAGAGGAAAAACACCACATAATTATTTCAATAGATGCAGAAAAAGTATTTGATAAAATTCAACATCTACTTATGATTTTTTTAAAAATCAGAGAACTGGAGTTCAAGACAGGACTGGGCAACATAGCAAGAAACAAGACCCCGTCTTTACAAAAAAAATGAAAAATTAGCCAGATGTGGTGGCACACACCTGTAGTTCCACCTCCCTGGAAAGCTGAGGTGGAAGGATCACTTGAGCCCAAGACTTTGAGACTACAATAAGTTATGATTGCACACTGCACTCTAGCCTAGGTAACAAAGCAAGACCCTGTCTCTTAAAAAAAAAAAAGGGAGGGGGAGGGCAAAAGACCTGGATAGACATTTCTCAAAAGAAGACATTCAACTGACCAACAGGTATATGGAAAAAGGCTCACCAGGCACCGTGGCTCACACCTGTAATCCCAGAGGCCAAGATGGGAGGATCGCTTGAGTCCAAGAGTTCAAGACCGGCCTGGTTAACATGACAAGACCGCTGTCTCTAAAAAAATTAAAAATTAGGCAGGCATGGTGGTGCACACCTCTCATCTCAGCTACTTGGGAGGCTGGGGTAGGAGGATCACTTTAGCCCAGGAGTTTGAGGCTGCAATGAGCTAGGATTGTGCCATCGCACTCTGGCCTGGGTGACACAGTGAGACCCTGTCTCAAAAAAAGAGAAGGAAGGGAAGGAATGAAAGGAAAGGAAGGAAGGGAAGGAAGGGAAGAAAGGGAGGGAGGGGGAGAAAGAGAGAACGAAAGGAAAAAGGAAGGAAGGAAGGAGTGAGGGAGGGAGGAAGGGAGGGAAGGGAAATATGTTCAACATCACTCATCATCAGGGAAATGCAAATCAAAATCATAATAAGATACCCCTTCAATTCAGCTAGAATGGCTTTAATCAAAAAGACAAAAGAAGATAAGTTGGCAAAGATGTAGAGAAAAGGGAATACTTTCATACTATTGGTGGGTTAGTAAATTAGTATAGTCAGTATGGAGAATGGTATGGAGGTTACTCAAGAAATTAAAAACAGAACTGCCATCTGATCCAGCAATCCTACTACTGGTATATATCCAAAGGAAATGAAATTAGTATGTGGAAGAGAGATCTGCACTCCCATTTTTATTGCAAGACTATTCACAATAGCCAAGATATGGAATCGACTTAGGTGTCCATCAACAGATGAATAGATAAGGAAAATGTGGTACATATGCGCAATGGAATACTATTTGGCCATAAAAAAAGAATGAAATCCTGTCACAACAACATGAATGAACCTGGAGGACATCATGTTAAGGGATATAAACCAGAAACAGAAAGACAAATACCACATGATCTCACTCATATGTGGAATCTCAAAAACAAAAAAGAGTTGATATCATAGAAGCAGAGTAGAACAGTAGTTACGAGAGACTGGGGAGAGAATGGGGGAGAGGAGGATGGGGAGAGGTTGGTCAGCAGGTACAAAGTTATTATTAGATAAGATGAATACATTCTGGTGTTTTAGCTGGGTACAGTGGCTCACACCTGTAATCCCAGCACTTTGGGAGGCCAAGGTAGGTGGATCACTTGAGGTCAGGAGTTCGAACCCAGCCTGGCCAACAAGATGAAACCCCATCTCCAGTAAAAATACAAAAATTAGCTGGGCTTGGTGGTGGGTGCCTGTAGTCCTAGCTACTCAGGAGGCTGAGGCAGGAGAATTGCTTGAACCCGGTAGGCAGACGTTCCAGTGAGCCGATATCACACCACTGCACTCCAGCCTGGGTGACAGAGTGAGACTCGATTAAAAAAAAAAATCTGTTGTTCTATTGCACACAGGGGTGACTATGGTTGACAGTAATATATTGTATGTTACAAAATACGTAGAAAAGAGGCTTTTGCAAGTTCTCACAGCAAAGAAATGGTACATGCATAAGGTGACAGATACATTAACTACCCTGCCTGGATCATTGTGCAATGTAAATACATACTGAAATATCAAATTGTACTCCCTAAATATGCGTCGGTTAAAAAATGAAAAACCCACATACATACTTCTTCCATTCTCTTTTGAACCTCATCCTTGGTGCTTCACTGCAAGGAGAAAGGCCTATTTCAAGTCAATTCCCTGGTCTTAGGATGCAGGCATATAAACACGGCCAGTAAT